CCAACGGGGTCTATGTGCCACCCAGCGCCGCCAACGGGGACGTGAAGCCGGTGGTCTCCACAACGCCGCTGGTGGACTTCCTCATGCAGCTGGAGGACTACACGCCCACGGTACGCGCTGGGGGCGGGCTGCGTGGAGGTGACAGGCTGCCACAGGGAAGCCGAGTTCCTCCAACTTTTCTCTTGTACAGATCCCAGACGCTGTCACGGGTTATTACCTCAACAGAGCAGGATTTGAGGCCTCTGATCCACGCATGTAAGTGGCAGTGGGTGTGGTCGAGTGTGGCCTCAAGGACCCTGCTACGAGGTCTGATAGCTGGAGACCTCAGCAGAAGTTCCTTAATCCCAGTGTGCTCTGTGTGTCTGTCTGAAATTGTCCCTTCTCTTTCTCTGCTGGGTAGCATTCGTTTGATCTCTCTGGCCGCACAGAAGTTTATTTCTGACATTGCCAACGATGCACTGCAGCACTGCAAGATGAAGGGAACAGCCTCAGGCAGCTCCCGCAATAAGAGCAAGGTGAGAGAAGAACAGAATGGGTGCTTGGGTGAGGGGAAACGTCCTTTCCCAGGGCCATAGCAAGCTGAACTTGCTGCCACTGAATGCGGGGCTGTGGGTTGTAGAAAGTCTTAAACCTGTTGTGCTCCTGAAGGGTCAACATGCTTACTAATAAGCTAGTGCTCTGCCAGTGGAAAAGGGATGCTGGTGAAAAAATGAGGTGGGCAGTGCAATTCACGGAATACGCTTTGATGGCTTCACAGGAGTACGTGAGTAGCTGCATTTCATCAGACGGAGGGCCATCTAGCCCTGCATCCTCCCTCTGACAGCGACCAAACCTCTGATGCTTGAGGAAGAACATAAATGGGGACTACGCATGTAGCAGTAGTTTCTGGGAATTCTCCCAGTCATCATGTGTTTGTGGTTCCAGGGCCTCACGAGGGCGATGTAATTTATCTTTACGGCACTGAGTAATGCTCAGCGTCTTTCTTGAGCAGCTGAGAGCACAGAGCAAACGAAACATGCAGTACGTAAGAGCTGGTTAATGCCCCAAACGCTGGTCTGTAGCTGCTTCTGGGAATTGTGCACAAACAGGTCAC